CCCTAAAAAAAAAAAAAAAAAAAAAAAAAAAGACTAAGAGCTTGATGTGGCTGCAGAGACTGATCCTATTCGATCGTTTCAGAACGTGCACTTTCTCCAGACACTCACATCTCCATTTCTTTGCTTCTGGAATCCTTTTGAACCAGATTAGCATAATTGTCAGTGTATATTTCGCTTTCCTTTTTTACTATTTACTATGATAAAGATGGAATCATGGCACCGAATGCTCAAATGTGCAGGTCAGGTCAAGTAGAAGAGTCTGAGGGCAGATCCTCTTATGGAAAACCTTCACTTCTACCTTGAAAGGGTGTTCTTTGTTTCTTGGCCTCCAGACTGTGCTGAAATTAGAACAACTCAAAGTTCATTTATGCTTCAGAACAGCTCTTTTAAGAGCTTATGAAAGGAGGATTATAACGGCAAGGTAAGGCAATACGGGTATTTTAAGATTCAAAAAGATACAGTCACTGCAATTAGGAGCAGTTAAAACAACAACGGAAAACATGGAGAAAAAGGATATACCTGATTTTCCTTTAAGACTTTTTTTCTCCAGGAATAGTTTAATATAGGAAATGGTAGGTTTGACCTTTTTCAGTTCCTTCCCCAACCCTAAGCGGTAAGTTGGGTTTCCTCCAACTCTTGATTTACTGAATTTATTTATATACTGCCTCTTTCTAAAGATAAATTAAGCAGCTCCCACAATGCCCCAGTGAAAGTGCTAGACTTTCTTTTCTTTCTGAGACAGCAAGTGACAGAGTAATCTCCTCTAGGTGATGGTCTAGCTCTTGTTGCAAACCTAGTTTTCAAACTGAGGTCTCTCAGTTGGGGTCTTCCTTGTCTACATCAGCCTGTCTGACCAGATCTAGAATTAGCAAGTGGTTTATGGGACCAGCAGTTGGCATAATGGCTATGTCGCTGGACTCCCATGTAGTTGACTGAGGTTTCGAGTCCCAGACCTGGTGGCTTAAAGTCACACCGGGAGCGTGTGCGTGCATGCCCAAGATCCAGAGAGGAGAACGGAGGAGAAGGGATTGCAGCATGACCATTCTCCCTGGGGGTGGGGGGATGTGTGATTTCTCGCTTTCTGTCTCTCTCTGTCTTTCTGGGGAGCGCACACGCCCTATAGAAGAAAACCTCTCAAAAAACAAAAACAAAAACAAAAACAAAAAAGAATTAGCAAGTGGTTTAACCTCATGGTACTTGAAAGCAGGTGAGCAA